TAGTGCTGGGCGCTCAACCCCCCCCCGTGCAAACACCAGCACTAGTACTGGGCACTCACCCCCCGTGCAAACACCAGCACTAGTATTGGGCACTCACCCCCCCGTGCAAACACCAGCACTACTACTGGGCACTCAACGCCCCCTCCCCCCCCCGGCTCCCTTGGTATGTGGCTGCCAGTAGCCCCTGGAGACCCCAGTCCAGATCAGGGCCCCCTTGTCTTGGGTGCTGCAGCTTCCCCTCAGCTCACACAAGGAATCAGTGACAGGGGTAGAAGAACCCAGGCGTCCTGGCGCCCAGTCCTCGTTGTTCAAACTCACCCACTCCCCTCCCACCGCCGGGGATAGAACCCAGGAGTCCTGGCGCCCAGCCCCTCCCTGCAGCTAGTGAAGTGCAGGGCGGCTCTAATGAAGAATGTCGAGTATCCAGCTACCCGGGGCACAGGCCGCACTAAAGCGACAGATTCAGCGAGGCCGCATCGGGCGCAGCTCCCTGCTGATGCCCTGTTCATGCCCACGCGGACACGGCCAGCTTTGAGGGCAGGTTGAACCAGCCTTAAACCCCGGCTGGACACACAGGGGGCAAATGAATCTATGCAAAGTCCTAACCACTAATAGCTGGGTACACAGGAGAACGTGGGGGCCGCCCGGCTAGTGACTCGTCTCAGTGCCATGTTGGAACCACTCGTTTATAAAACATTCCAGGGTAGCAACCGGCCACCCCCTGGGGTCAGAGCAGCTCAAAGCACTTTTACAGCTGGGGAAACTGAGGCACAAGTGCAGCGGTGACCTGCCCCAGGTCATGCAGGGAGCTTGGTGGAAGAGCCTAGAATGGAACCCAGGAGTCCTGATGCCCAGTTACTGCCCCCACCCCCTCCCCGATGCTAACTAGGACTGGCCGAAACTTGGAATTTCTGGTTCCTGGGAAGTTTTGCTATTTTGGTTTTGTTCCAAAGAGAAATTCCCAAAAACGTTTGTTTTGGAAACAGGGTTTTGCTTTGGTTGGGTTTTTCGCTGCCCATTTTCAATCGAGACGGGCTGGTTTTGCTGAAAGCTCTGCGCCAGGACTCACTCTGGCCAGGGGGACGACTAGATGGTCACTTCTTGCCTTGGCGTCTCTAAAACTATGACACCAAACCTGGGATGGGCAGCTCATGAAATGGACGTGATTCTTGTCGGTTTCAGCCTGACCCCACTGAACAGCAGCAGAGAAACTGAGGCCAGCCATGTGCCAGGGCCAGCAGCTCCTCCGCCAGGTGGACTGCGCCAGGCCGGGGACCCCAGGGCCGCCAGGCTCTTGGGCCAGTGGCTTCCTGCGCTGCTCGGCTAGTGGGGCAGCGGGCTCCGTCGGTTGCCGAGCTCGGGCCGTCTGGGGGAGTCCTGCCCTGGAGCTGGGGAGCCCGTGAGCTCTGCCCCCCTCGCTGTCTGCTAGGAAACCGGGCGGATTTCGTCCGAACCGTTTCACAGGTCGGCATTTCCCAGTAAAACCCGGTTTGCTGGAAACTCCGTGAGCAGCTCGAGTGTTAACAGCCACTAGGTCACGTGC